ATATATATATATATATATTTCATCTATTGTGTGTGTCACAGTGGGAAAACCCTGGGAACTATGGTCTTAAATGATGAAACAGGTTTACTACATTTTTATGTTTTTAAATATGTTTTTATTGATTTTTAGAGAGAGAGAAAGGGAAAGAGAAAGAGAGAGAAACATCGATGAAAGAGAATCATCGGTTGGCTGCCTCCTGCATGGCCCCCACTGGGAATAGATCCCTGGGCATGTGCCCTGACTGGGAATCCAACTGGCGACCTCTTGGTGCATGGGTCAATGCTCCAGCACTGAGCCACAGCGGCCAGGCAGTTTACTACATTTTCAAATAATACCTAGATCAACTCAATGTCCAATTTGAACATAAACACTTAATTGGTGAAGTGTAATTGTCAGAGATAGAAATGGAGTTGGATAAATTCAGGCTAGTAAATCTGAGGAGAAAAAGGAATGGATTAATTTAAATGCAGGGTAGGTAAGATTGGCTGCACGAAAACCCAGAAGGGAGAAATCTGTGCAGGAAACACAGGAACGGCAAAGAGAAGGTGCTGAAGGAGTCACTCCCATTATAACCTTTAAGAATGGGTCTTTTCCAGGTTTTAGTGGCATAATTAAAGCAAGTCGTTAACACAATTCACCAGCTTCCTTTACTTGTAACTACTCTTCCTTCTTCCTAGGCCGTGGGAGTGCTTTTCCAACTAAAATAGTAATTAATCACCTCCCCCAGCAGGTCCAGCGTGAGAAACAGGTCCTACAGACTTTTGAAATACGCAGGCTATTTTACATCAGTCTGAACGATGAATTGTTCATCCCTTCAACAAGAATTGATTGTCTGCTCTGTGCAAGGTGCTGCCTGGCTATCGGAGGGACAATGCTGACAGGGCGGATAGGATCCCTACCCTCAGGGAATTTGCAACCTCATAGTGGCCAGAGTCGAGGGACACTGAGGGGGATAAAGGCACAGATCACAGAGCCAAGATGTATGAAGCAAAATGGGGACTTCAGTATTTTAGAGCAGCGGTTCTCAACCTGTGGGTCGCGACCCCTTTGGGGGTCGAACGACCCTTTCACAGGGGTCGCCTAAATACATCCTGCATATCAGATATTTACATTATGGTTCATAACAGTAGCAAAATTACAGTTATGAAGTAGCAACAAAAATAATTTTATGGTTGGGGGTCACCACAACATGAGGAACTGTATTAAAGGCATTAGGAAGGTTGAGAACCACTGTTTTAGAGCCACGAATTAGTCCTTCAGACCATGAGGTCACTGTTTTTGCTTGAAATGTTGTAACTCCACAGAATACACTCCCCCGAAGCAGACGTAAATGATGTTTTTGTATCCACCCTGCTCCCTATGCCAGCAGGACAGGCCATTGAGCCGTGGTTACAATCCACTGCACTGGGTACGGCTCCGACCCAGACTAGTTCACTTTATCTAGTGTGGGGCTCCATGTGGGAGGCAAAGTTACAAACTCTTCAGAAATAATATGTACGAGGGATGGGACAATAATAAGATCATTAAACGGAGAGAGGGAGGTTGCTGGTGACTTAGATAATGGCCTTCAGACCTCCAAACGGTAAATGACGGATGTTAGGCCACGAAACCTTTCTCTGGATTTGAGCCCAAAAACATTGTCAGGTTCCTAAAACAAAAGGGAAGACTCATCGTCATGACCGGTAACCTTACGTCGATGCTGCTCGAGAACAAACACACAGACAGAACAACCTGCAGTGTGGGGCTGGGGACCCAAAGAAGCCGAGGCTCCAATTTCATTTTCAGTTTCCAAAATATTCCCCAGTTTGGATGTGGGGAGAAAGAAAGAAAGGTCCCGCGAGGCCACATGCAGAGGAAGGGCTGTCGGCACAGGCTGACTAACATTCGGCTTCCTGCTTTTTATTTGATTTGAGTCTGAAAAACACAGATACAAGAATGGCTGGTGCACAGGCCAGCCCAGACCAGCACATGAGGCTTTGAAATCATCTGTCATTTCCGTCCCGCTCGGTGGTGATCCCAGGGCTGTAGGGATCTAGAGGAAGGAAAAAGGCCTGGGGATGGGTGTCCTGGAGATGGGTGTCCCCAGTCCCGCAGCCACCCGGGGGCCCTGCCCAGGAGAGCGCTGTCCCTGGCTGGTCTGCTACAAGCAATCAACTGCCATCGATTTCCTCCTCTGCCCCAGGCCTGGGCAAGCTGCTTCCTCACCGGACAGAGCTGGTGCAAGGCTGGGATAAGGATGCAATAGCGGTGATGGGGACACATGCTCACCCCAGGCCTTCTGAGTGTTTTCCTTACAGAGAATAGGAGGCTGTTGCTTCTCCTTTCTTTCCCATTCTTGTCCATTCACGTGTCGTTCCCGGGACCTAATAACCATAGATTTCATTTTCCACCCACCCACACTCCTTGCTCCTCCCCAGTCGGTGGTCTGGAGAGAACTCGTAAATGTCATTGGTCACAAAGCCGCTCTCGATGCTGGCCAGGGTGACAAACCCGCTCTCAGACGGGTTCACAGCCCTGTGGTCGGAGTCACAGGACATGTCCTCGGGAGTGGCTTCTCCCGAGCACCCTCGGAATGATATGTTCTTCAGTTCCGGCCGGGTCTCGGCCAAATCAGCTTCGCTTTGTTTCCGGATGACGCTGTAAACCTCCAGGTCCGGGCTGAGCCCGGGGCCGGGCGAGGGCCAGATGGTGCGCGGCTCCTTCGTGCTGGGGTCTGGCTGCTCCCGTGTCCTAGGAGAGAAGACAGGGCTGAGTTTTCAGACGCGGGGACTGCGACCATCCCTGGGCCCGACCATCCCTGTGCCCGCTGGCCCGGCAGCGACCATCTTGGGCAGGCACAGCTGTGCTTCTCACCTGCCTGACTCCACAGTCAGGCATCCGCAGGGCGAGGGGGAACAAAACAGGGGCGTGTTGCTAGGTTCAAAGCGACTGTATATCTACCAGTCACTGCTGCCGGAGCATGGAACAGAGGTGTCTGTCCTGGGACCCCCCAGTGCCCCGAAAGGGTCCATGATAGAATGGGATGGGGAGAGATTTCACTTAAAAAAAAACCCTCTCGCCGAGACCGGTTTGGCTCAGTGGATAGAGCGTCGGCCTTCGGACTGAAGGGTCCGGGGTTCGATTCCGGTCAAGGGCATGTACCTGGGTTGCGGGCACATCCCCAGTAAGAGATGTGCAGGAGGCGGCTGATCGATGTTTCTCTCTCATCGATGTTTCTGACTCTCTGTCTCTCTCCCTTCCTCTCTGTAAAAAATCAATAAAATATATATAAAAAAAATAAAACAAAAACCCTCTTCTCTAAGTGAAAAAGGCCAGTCTCTCCATTCTAAGTGTAGGAAAATAAACAAGAATAGAATTAGTAATATCTCTGACTTGATCAACAAGAGAAATCATAGATATTTTTGTGATTTCATGATTTTATAACATCACAGTAATAATAAATGCCTTAAAATAACTTCAAAATGATAATAATTACACCCACCACTAAATAAAGAAGCATCAATCAAGGAGCACATGTATTACTGTATCACATTCCTTTGGGGAAATACTTTGCTAAACTATATATTCGTATAATCGCTTCCCTTGCATCCAATGCATTTTATTTTATGCATTGAAAAAATCTTTTTCCGGGAAGGAATCGCTAGGCTTCACCAGAGCAGGTGAGGTGCTAAATAGGCAGAGGAAGGAAGAGAAATCAAGAACCAATCGCACAGTAAGCAGCCGTAAAACACAATTGTAATTTTTTTTAACTGAATTCAATTTTTAGATGAAAAGGAATTAACTAGTAAAAATGAGCACAGTAATAAGAGCGAACATTTTTGAGTGCTTACTATATGCCCATTCTGCCTGTACTAACTGCTTTGATGCTAATAATTCTCTAAGAAAGTGGTTATTAAATGCAGCAGGTTCTAGACTCTTACTCAATCATCTTAAATTGGTCATCAAAGGGCGTCACATCTGAAACTGGACCTTCGTTTTCCTGTTGTAGAGTGGGCACACCAGCCTTGTCCTCTGTGTACCAGGACAATGGGGGAAAGGTAGCTGGGAAGCTCTGGGCATCTCAAAAGTGTGGCACATGTTCCGTCAGTGGAGTGGCCCTCGGCCAGTGATGGCGAACCTATGACACGCGTGTCAGAGGTGACACGCAAACTCATTTTTTTGGTTGATTTTTCTTTGTTAAATGGTATTTAAATATATAAAATAAATATCAAAAATATAAGTCTTTGTTTTACGATGGTTGCAAATATGAAAAAATTTCTATATGTGACACGGCACCAGAGTTAAGTTAGGGGTTTTCAAAATGCTGACACGCCGAGCTCAAAAGGTTCGCCATCACTGGCCTAGGCTATTAGTGCAGGTGTTTTGTAGCAGTCTACAATTGCTATTCAGTGGAAAGAAAAGCCAACTAAAAGTATTTGGGTATTTCATTTTGAATAGAATGATTCAGTTTCAGATGTTTGCCAGAATGTTCTGAAAGAGATGTTTTCCATGTGGCTCACTATATACTCCTCCACTCACTCAGCAAACACTTTGGAGTGAGAGCGTGGGTTTCTGAGAGCACTTGGCTGAGTGGATGCAGAATAACACAGTTTCACCCCTCAAGCCATTTAAAAAAAAATGAAAGAATGCAAGATCACTCTCAACCACAGCTAAGCACAAATGTTTGGTACTTCAGAATGCCTAGAGCACGGCGGAGAATTTACTCTCAAAACTGCAGTGGTGTTTCTCTTGTCACTGCCATGGCTTTTAGTTAAATAAATAGGGCAGTGTCCAAACCTGAGAGTTCAGAAGACAAAAGTTTGCATGACCAAGGTTTTACTTGCCTCCTCCTCCAGATCCAAACCCAGCAGACAACTGTGGTGACCAGCAGGAGGAGGAAGAGGGGGATGCCGGGCACTAGGAGGTAGACAAGGTTCCAGGCAGTTTCTGAAAAGAAAAATGCACGGTATCCGCATTAATGATGTTGTTATGTGCTTCGAAACAGGCTTTAAAAAGCATAATCCACATAATCAACACAGAGTATTCCAAAGAGCACCTCCTTTCAAAAAGTGAGTCTTTTCTCCCTGTCCAATTATTCTAGGTAACAGAGAAGTTTAAAGTTTGGGTCTCATATAATAGCAGAAGGGCAGTTTGGGTAATTACATTTTTTTTCCAGTTGAAAGATATTCTCTCTTCTTGTCCTTCCTCTCCCTTAACGAAGAAGGGGCTGCTTGGGCAGTGTGGATGTTTCCAAGGCGGGACGAGGGAGAGGGAGGAAGGAGAGACAGTCACAGGAAGCAAGCAATTCAGACTGCAGACTCTTCCCAACATTTCTAAGACTAACTGGATCCAGTTGGGCCCATGAGCAGTGACTTCTTCTGTCCTTTAAGTCTTAGAACCAGAGAATTTTCTTTCAAGGGGCTTTGGGACGATCAAGGATAGGGGACTGACCCCTTCCCTAGCCCGACTGGTCCAAGATTCCCATCCATCCAGAGGCTGTTGCTTTGTTTTTCCACAGAATCTGTTACACACACACACACACACACACACACACACACACACACACTTTAAATACCACCTTAATAACAAAGAGCAATAAAAATGCCACCCATCTGTGCATAGCACTGTGTACTTTTACCCAACATTTCCTTATATTATCTGTTGTAGACTAACACACTTGATTGGCCTTTGTCCCTGGTTCCTGGGAGGAAGGGGCTCTAAATCTTTGGAATTTCTCAGGTAATAAGAGTGATTGTTATTCACGAGGCCCTCAGACCATATCAGAGTGGATGCTGACAGAGATGTCTCACAATGGGGCTGATGGGAAGGCAGTGGGGCCTGGAGATTGAGCTCAATGACATGACCAATGATCACATCAGTTATGCTAATGTAATGACACCTCAGTAACACTTCTCACACCAAAGCTCAGTAGAGCTTCCTGGTCGGTGAACACACTGATGTGTCAAGAGCATGAGAAGGCATCCAGACTCTACAGAGAGAGGACAGGAGCTCCCCATTTGGGACCTTTCTAGACCTCACCTGATGTGTTTTTCATTTGGCTGGTCCTGATTTGTATCCTTTATAATAATACGTAGTCATAAGTATAGCATTTTCCTGAGTTCTATGAGTTGTTCCACCAAATTAATGAACCTGAGGGAGTGGTTGGCACCCCCTGGATTATAGCCAGTTGGATAGAAGTGCAGGTGGCCTGGGGATCCCAGAACTTGTGGCTGATGTCTGAAGTGAAGGCAGTCTTGTTGGGGCCTGAGTCCTTAACCTGTAGGGTTGTGCTAACTTGGAGGGCTAGAGTCAGAACTTAATCACCATATCACAATATCCTATTTTATTTTATGGACACAGTTTCTCAGGTAGTGAGAAAAACATTATTACTTCCATTATGGAAATGATTAAACTGAAGCACAGAGAACTTGTGGTTTTCTTAAAGTTGCCCAGCGACAAAACCCCAAATTTCCCTCTTAAAATTCAAGGTGGAGCCCCCGTCTAGTGGCTCAGTTGGTTGGAGCATTGTCCCACACACCAAAAAGGTTGGAGGTTCGATTCTCAGTCAGGGCACATGCCTAGATTTCTGGTCAGTCCCCAGTTGGGGTGAGTACATAAGGCAACCAATCAATGTTTCTCTTTCCCATCAATGTTTCTCTTTCTCTCTCTCAAATCCATAAACTAATCCTGGGGTGGGGATAACAAAACAATAACAACTCAAAGTGGAGTCCAGGTTGAAAGTCCATTAGCACTCCAACTTATCACCCCATTTCCTTTTATCTTTTATGATTTAACTTTTAAAAGGTTTTTGTCCATTTCCTTTATTTGTTTCACAATTAATATTCATCATGGATAGTATGCAGCATGGTCTGCGACTCTCTGCTCTTATTTCCCTACATCCATTCTCTCAGTCCTGCCCCATCACCGCCCCAGGACTTCTGGGTGGTTCCCAAAGCTCCATCTTCATGCAGATTTTTCCTCCCCTGCAGTCTAATTCCCCCTATTGTCTTAGGACAGCTCCATCAGCATAGTTCACTGATGAAAGCTAACATTTGATGCAGTTTTTGCAAAGTCACAAATGCCCTGTCTAGTTCCATTGTTAGGTAGTATGGGATGGAAAAAAGTAGGAAATGCAGCCGAAACCGGTTTGGCTCAGTGGATAGAGCGTCGGCCTGCAGACTGAAAGGTCCCAGGTTTGATTCTGGTCAAGGGCATGTACCTGGGTTGTGGGCACATCCCCAGTAGGAGGTGTGCAGGAGGCAGCTGATCAATGTTTCTAACTCTCTATCTCTCTCCCTTCCTCTCTGTAAGAAATCAATAAAATATATTTAAAAAAAAAAGTAGGAAATGTAACTGTGGGTAATGTGTGATCAAGGGAGTCCCATTATCTATTTTTCCCAGGAGAGTTCTGTATATACCTTTGTTTTCTTTAAATGTTTCTTTGACATCTTCTTTCTCTGTGTTTTCTGGAAGTATGGGTGTGGCTGCCTTTGTCCTTTCACCTGGAAACAGACACATGAACTTGAGAACCTGGAGAAAGGCATCGGAACACAGATACTCTCTGAAATCCTACCAGGTTCAAGGTGGAATGCCAAAAGGCAGTAGCAATTTGACCATTGCCATTTATAGACACAGAACAAGGGTAGACTTTGCTGGGATAGAGGTTTAATTGTCTTTATCTTTCTGGTGAGACTCTTGCTGCCAAGAATCAGGTACTGCAACAACCAGCAGGTGGCTGGCATCAAGGCACATGCTGTACGCAGGTGCTAAGGGAAGAGTCAATGACTCATTTCTAGGGCCAAACATGATCAGTTTGGCCCACTTGTTCAAACAGATGAGCTATTCCTTTCATATTGTCAATCATGACAAGTAACATCTCAAACTGAATTTTCAACGGCTCCTTTTCAGCTTTGAGAGAAACAGACAACGTTAGAGAGCGAGACTCTCCACGACTCGCCATGGCTGGATATGGCATATACCTGTTTAAATGTTCTGGGTTAACAATGATCTTTCTGTTGAATAATCTGGACTAAAGATCATATGGTTCTGAACCAATGAAGAAGGGCTGTGAAATAGCCCAAATTAGCCCAAACCTCAAAAGACAGGCTTACCTCCCAGCCCCGTAGAAGGAACTGTTGGTTCCTCTGTGGCAGAAAGAAACAAAAATGAAAATAATAACTCCATTTCCATGCCGCCTTAATGAAATTGGCCAGATCATGACATCCAGTTGTTTGCTCATTCAGTCACCAATAAACCATCTTCGTTATGAAGTTAGTCAACAGGATCACTTGTGCACGAAGACTAGCCCTCCCCCAGCTTTGCTTGTACACTTTTTTTCTTTTTTAAAAAGTATTTTGAAATTTTTAAATATGAGGATTCCCAAATATACACAAAAATAGAAAGACAGGTATTATGAACCTCTATGTACCACTGTTAGCTGCAATTGTTATCAACATATGGCTAATCTAGTTTCAGCAATAATCCTTCCCCACTGGGTTATTTTAAAGCAATCCAAGACGTCTTAACAATTCCTATTAGGATGCTTTAGAAAGCAACAGACAATGATCTCCAGGCAGTGGAACTAGTTGGGGGGCTAAGTAGTCTACTGGCCAGGCCCTAGGTAGAGGCTGTGGTCTAGAACTGAGTCATTTTACATATTTCAAAGAACCTCAGGAAAGTCAGGTTGCACAGACAACTTATAGCAAATGTGTGTACTCTCTTCTGGCAGTCACTCCCTGATGCCAACCAGATGGTCTGGGGCTCATGGGGATGGGGTCCTCAAGGGCAAGATTTTAGAATTCACAGTCCTAAGGCCAGGATGTCAAAGCGATTCAGAGAGAAAACTTTTAATCGTCTTCTCATCAGTTCAGGAATTTATAGAGATGACTCAAATCCATTAATTTATTTAAAAAAACATTTATACAGTGCATGCCATATGACAGAAATATCATCATTTCTAAGTGTTTTCTAAGACAAACAATTTATCCTGAAAACAGCCTCATGAGGTAGGTGCTATTATTACTCTGATTTTGTACATGAGGAAGCCAAGGTAGAGGGAGATTATATAACTTGACCAAATCCCTCAGCTATTAAGTAATAGCTGAACTGGGATTTGAAACAATAAATTCAAATAAAAATTAAAATCATAAGGAGACAAACTGTGCTAGGTAATGGAGATAACATAGCAAATGAGAAATAGTTCCATCCTTCTAAGGCTCTTACACTCTACAATTTGGCCATAAAATATGGAAATACAGGACAATATTAATAGATATTGATAAATAAAAATAAATGTTTTAATATTAATGAATATTTTTAAAAATTTTGTAATGTTACATTATAATACAAAGTAAACTCAATAACGTTACATGATCTACTCATTTTCCTGTCTTTCTGTGGTTTAATCCACTGTGCAAACCTGCAGCAGTCAGCATATTTATGCAGCATTTGCTCCAGTACTGCAGTGTGTCTGCAATGCATCGCCTGTGACGAATTGTCTCTGATTTTCACTGAACCTGCCCATTCCTTTAGCATACCCGGAAGTAATCAAGTGTGCAGATCCGGCTAGTATGCCCCCTGTTCTATGTGGTCATGTTGTCAAATGCAGTTTGGGATGTTATTCAATCAGTCCCTTGCCACGCTGGCATAATGAGTGGTGTGCCATCCTGTTTGAACCACACTGGATGAACTTTCCCTAACCCACCAAGTGCAGGGATTAATTGGTCAAATGTGTATATTTCCAGACCTCATGCCAAACATGTAGGGAGGGAGCCAAACTTGTAAATAGGCCGTTAAAGTAATGGGTGTGTGAAGAGCTATGATCCTCATGCGAGGATCACCTAACCTAGTTTGAGGGGCCCTGGAAGGTTCCCAGAGGAAATTATCATTTTTTAAAATTTATTATTTTGAAGTAATTTCCAATTTATAAAAATTTGCAAGAATAGTACAAATAATTTTCATATATTCTCCACCCAAATGTTATAATTTTATATTTCATTCATTTACTTATTCTCTTTAATCTCTCTCTTCTCTCTCTCTCTCACTTTCATTGCTCTGAAAGGTGACCTGCTAAGACAGCCTCCAACTTTGCAATCACCTGCCTAAGACAACTCTGCATGGGAGTTAGGGAAACAGTTTTCTGGGAAACATAATTCACTTGAGAGGGTGGAAAGAAAGAGAAGAAATCTTTTAGCAGAAAAAGCATAGTCCAATTCAAACAATTAAAATATGATAGAATTACCTAGTAACCAACTAGAACTAAGTCATTCTCCTATCGGGAAAGGATGCAGAATTGGAGCCAAGCAGTTGGCTTCATGGAGGTGAGAAACTTGAGGGACAGATCAGAACTCACTTCAAGTTTAGATCCAAGCCAGTTATAATGGAGGAGGGTGGGAAACTCCAGCAGAATGAGACTACAGTCTTAGAGTCCAAACCCTTGACAGACCTAGGAGCAAATGCCCGCTGCATTTGCAAGGTACATATAGAGGGTGGTCTGGGAGTTCAAGCTCATCAATGTGTCTACTCTTTGCCCCAAACCAGAGAAATTGGTGTATTTTATCATCTACTGCCTCAGGTCACAATTCTGTTTCCTTAAAGCCCCAGAAAATAATCTCACATGGCTGTTAGAAGACTTGTAGGAACAATGGCCAGTTTCTTTTCATATTTCTTCTTTATTCCAAGCTCCTACAGCCAACATCACATGTGGAAAGAATAAGAATTTGTAATTGTCCACTTAGAGAACTTTTTGTTTCCCGAAGTTCTCATAATTCTTGCTTTATCAAACATAAATTAGACCCTTTCTTATCTTCATCCCTCTCTTAGCATCTGATACCCCTCTCCTTTGCTAGTGCTATTCCTCAAGGAGGAAGGCTCTCTACATTTCCCTTTCCAAGGATTCCCAATGTTTAACATTGCTGGCATGTGCAACACACTTTCTTGGAGACCACATAATAAATTCTTGGAACCAGCAGCTGCTCATGAAATGAGAGAGGAAGTTGAGAGATTCAGCCACCTAACTTGGGAGAGGATCATTACCATCGGAGTATTTGCAAATGAAATTGTTCTTCATGTTGCATCGGTCGTCATTCCACTGGAACATATAGGGGCCCCCGATGCCGATGGGTGCAGATGGCTGATGGTACATGACTACGCAGACCTCACTGCCACAGGAAGGCTCATCCACATACCAGTTCCTGTAGGAAAGGGGTCAACAGTGGAGGCAATTGGAGAAGGATACCAGCAGCCTTCAAAGCCTTTGTTTGTCCATCAAATCCTACTGAGCCACGAACTTAAGACTCTGCTTCAAGAACACGATACAGAAAAAGGGAGGAATTGAAGTACCGCCAGGCTTTCTAATATGGACAGCACAATCAATCATCTGACATTTGCCACAACCTTTTTGCAGGAAGGAAGGAATATATTACCATATGATTTCTGCGAAGTAATTATGGGGGGAAAAACAGCTAGCAGCGCATTCTGAACAATCTTATTTATTGCTTGCTTTTCGATAACTGGGTTTGTTTTTCTTCTTTTATAAGTCAGATGTGCTGAGAAGAGGCATGACTCATCTCATGTCCTGCTCCCATCTCCTCACACTTTTTAATTGGCCAGAACTGACTTTTCCAGCCCTGGGAAGACTTTCCAAAATATAGAGGCTGTCAAAGCAGGTGAGGGGGTGGGGACAAGAGCAGAGGGCCCACATAGTCTCCCGTTGTTTCCTGCGCCTCAGGCTGATGAGCCCCTTGGTTGGCCTTCACTGCTAGATTTCTTGTCTTGGTCTCCCTGGCTCCTGGGTAGGATGCATTAGCAGCCTCAGCTTCTCTATCCAGTGCTACTTGGAATTAAATGGCACTGTCACCCAGCTGGATACGTGGGTGCCAGGTTTTGGATTTCACAAAGCGTCGAAGTGCTCTGAGCACCCACCCCATGCACTGGCCATGGGCTGGCTCTAGTCTACCTGATTACGCACCTGAGCTGTTTCCTTCCAGCACTCAGAGCTTGTCCTGATGCTCAGATTATTACTGGGCCCTGCGGCTCTGCCTACCCTTATCAGAGCCTCTCCTTAGGAAACTGCTATGAGTCAGGTCACCTCATAGCACCCCATTATGGCTCTGCTCAGTGTTGTATTCCATCCACCAAAAGGAAGAGCCTGTGCTGCACCCACTGGGTTTTATGTGCCTGGACAATAGGTGGCATTGCAATACCACTGGATACTATGCCTGGATCCTCTGCTCCTCCTTAGTTACCTCCAGGCCATTTTCCAACTCTGTGAGTGGGCCTCCTACACTGACTTGCCATTGGCCTTATGGCTTTCCACTGGCCTTATGGCTTTATGTTATTTCATCTCACAGGTGATAGACTAGATGGAATGTTATACCTGGCACCTGGTTTCAAGCTGAGCATTCTCTGATAGAAGGAGAGGCTAGGTTCCAAGGAGGAAGGACCCTGCAACACCATGGCAGCTGCATGTGGTGATCATCTCCTCTGTTCTCCCAAAGGGGCCTACAGCCATTTACTCAAGTAGCCATGAAGTGGGAGAAGAGGAAACCCAACTATTATAGAGACTGCTGGACACAAGGTGCAAGTCGATATTGAAGCCCAAAGACTCGAAGTGACACCAAGGCTGCCCATTAGAGTGGGCGCATACTGAGGCCAGGTATCAAGTGAAATTCTGGCCCAGGACCAGCTCACAGTGGGACCCATCCAGTGCTCATTTTCGAGACCCCAAATATACAAATTGAAAGCCTATAGGCTTTCATAGCAGAGAAGGTCAAGTGGAAGCCTCTGAAACTACACTCTTCCCAACCCTATTCAAGATAGTAAGTAAACACAATATCTTATCCAGGAGAAGATGACAGAAAGTAGTGGCATCCCCAAAGACCTAGAGACTGCAAGGGTGATATTCCCCATCACATCTCTGTGTAATTCACTAGTCTGCAACAACCAGGCAGGTCCTGAAGGAGAAGACTGGAGTAGTGCAAACTGAACCAAGTGGAAGCCTCAATTGCAGCTGCTTTGCCGTATGTGGTATCTTTGCTACAGCAGCTTAACATGCCCTTGGTACCTAGTATGCAGATCTGGTGAACACATTTTTTTTCATCTTTATCAGGGAAAGAAACAGTTTGTATTTATTTGGAATAGACAACAGTATACACTCTAGTCTTCCCTCAGGACTACACTAATTTTCTTGCCCTCTGTCATAATATGGCATGAAGAGACCTGAGCAGCCCAGACACCTTGCAGAAAATCATGCTAGTCCATTACATTGCTGACATGCTGAGTGAAGCAGATGAGCAAGAAACAGCTAGTAAATGGAGGCTTAGTAAGATTCATGTGCTCCATGGGTTGGAGCTAAACCCTATGACGATTCAGGAACCTGCCACTTCATGAAAATGTATAGGTGTCTAGTGATCTAGGGAATGCCAGAACATCCCTTTCAAATGAAAGGATTTAAAGCAGTAATTTGAAGCATCTTGCAATAACTTGAAGAAGGAACCGTGGCATTAGTAGGTCTCTTTGGGTTCTAGAAGCATATTTCACACCTGGAAATACAGCTCTGGCCCCAAAACCAGCTGACACAAAAGACAGCTGGCTTTGAGTGGGATCTAGAGCCGAAAAGGACCCTGAAGCAGGTCTAGGCTGTGGTGCAAAGAGACTTACCACTTGGGCCATATGATCAAGTAGACCCTATTATTAGAGGTATCAATGGTGGGAAAAATAATGCCATGTAGAATTTCTGACAAGCCGGAATGAGAGAATCACAAGGCATATCCCTAGGATTCTGTAGCAAGGTCTTGTCATCTACAGCTGAGAAAGAACCACTTGGCCTGCTACTATAAAAAGAGCACCAAGAGATCATTCAATCCAACTTACCCATCATGAGTGAAGCACTGTCAGACACATATAGTCACAGGCTGGGCAGGCCTAGAATCAATCCATTATAGATGGAAGATATATATGACTGAAGGGCATTGTATGAGTAGGGTAAAGCGCACTGTATGAATAGGTAGAGCAGACTGCCATGACATCTACCACTGTTGTACTAGTGTCTCTTTCTCAGCTTACACCTATGGCTGTATAAGGGAATCCCTTGCCATGACTAGCTGATAGAGGCAGCCTAAGCTTGGTTTGTGGATAAGTCAGCCAAGTATGGCATACAGCTCCAAATGGATAACAGCTGCACTACAGCCCCACTCAGAGGTGGTCTTGAAAGGTCAAGTGTTAAGAGGATATCCTTCTAATGTCCAGAGCTTAGTTGGTAGTTAGTGGAGGTTAGAAGAGAGAAGGACTCAGGGGTAGGGCAGAGAGCTTGGCCAGCTGATCAGGGGAAAAAGCTTTCTAAAAGGAGAAAGAGTACAAGGTTGGGGACAAGGAGCTATTGGATAGAGTGTTATGAGTAGACATATGGGAATAGCATCAAGTATGAGACTCTGTTATATGTTAAAGCCCACCAGAAAGTATCTAGCATGGAAGAGACCCTTAACAACGAGGGAGACAAAATGACTTGGCCAGTTGACGTCAGCTAGTCTGTTGTCAGCTGCCCCAGTGCTGGTGCAATAGATACACACTAGAGTGGCCATGGTGGCAGGGATGAAAACTGCATAGGCTCAACAGTATCTGTCCCCACTCTTCAAGGACCATCTAACCTGCTGGCAATAGAGACCAGGGCTAAGTCCCTGAAAGAGTACCAACCCTAGGAGACCAGCAAGTTGACTAAAATGGACTCCTTCCAGTGACTCATTTTGACCGGAATAGACACATAGCCTGGGTGTGGGTTTGCCTTTCCTGCCCCAGGGCCTTAGTCAGCATCACTGTCCAAAGAGTTACACACACAGTATTTGATCTACCAGCACCGTACCCCAAGTAACATCTCATCAGACCACAGGATCTACTTTATAGCAAAGGAGTGGGAGTAGGCACTTGGCCATGGGATTTGCTAATCATCTCATATATTCACTATCCTGAAGCTGCCAGCTTGACAGAGTTATGGAAGAGTCATTGAAAACAAAGCTTGAAGCACTAGCTTAGAGGCAATACTTTGTGAGAACAGGGCATCCTCCTCCAAGATGCAGCATACACTTTGAATCAATGACCTTTGCATCGTCCTGTGTCCCCAAGTGTAAGACTACATAGGTCTGGGAACCTAAGGATGGAAGCAAAAGAAGCCCTGATTACTATCACTGGTAGTGGCCCAGTTGGAGAATTTGTACTTATTGTCTCTGCAATGCTGGGCTTTGTGAGTTTAAAGGTCCTGGGACCCAAAGGGTACCCATTAGAAGATACAGCAAAAGCCTTATTGAACTATGAGCTTTGGTTGCCACCTGGGCACTCTGGGGTCCCTGTGTCCAGGGACCAGCAGGTAAGAAGACTATTATCTTGGCAAGAGTTAACTCACCCTAGTCATGAGGAGGAAGTACTTCTGCTATTCCAGATTATGAGCAGAGAGAAATATGTATGGCACACAGATTGTCTATTTGGATACCTGTCAGTACTCATATGCCTAATTTTGATGGTAAATAGAAAAGCCTCCTAGTCCCTGAGCAGAGGGGGCAGGGAATCTGGACTGGATAGCAGAGGAGGGAGATGCAGTGGTGAGAAGTGCAGTTCATCTGATTAACCTCCCGTTTTAAGTTTCTCCCAGGAAAAGAAGCCCATGAGGATCCTGAAGGAGGTACTCCTAGAACTTAGATGAAGATGTGGATCTGATCAGCATAATGGGCAGACTTTCATAGATGCTGACATGCTATCTTAAATGTAATAGGTAAAGAAGATATATTTTAACTTTCATTCTTTTTATTGATAATGAGTTTAAACTTTTTTTATCATATGATTGTTTACCAGTTAGATTTTGTATTTTCTGAAATGTCTGCTTAGGTCCTTTGCCTCTTTATCTTTTGGGGTTTTATTAACTTACTAGAGGCCCGGTGCATGAAATTCATGCAGGGGGTGGAGGGGTGGTGGAAGGGTGTCCCTCAGCCCAGCCTGCACCCTCTCGCAATCCAGGACCGGGACCTCTGGCTCCTAACTGCTCGCCTGCCTGCATGATCACCCCTAACCCCTCTGCCTGCCTGCCTGATCACCCCTAACCTCTCTGCCTGCCTGCCTGATCACCCCAACTGCTCACCTGCCTGCCTGATCGCTCCTAACTGCTCATCTGCCTGCCTGATCGCCTCTAACTGTCTCTGCCTCACCCCCGCCACCACGGCTTCTTTGGGAAGGATGTCCAAAATGATGTCCAGAAGGTCATTCAGCTGTCTGGTCTAATTAGTATATTATGCTTTTATTATTATAGATGTAAACTTTCAGTGTTTTATTGACTTTTATATAAGCTCATAAAATATACTCTTTGTTAAATTTTCTACAATTTTTCCAGTCTTATGTCTGCCTTTTAATTTGATATTTTTTGACGTTTGTCACAGCATTTCTTGGGGTGGGGGTGGAGGTGATGGCAACACCATGGTGCCAGGGGAGGGCATGGGTTTAGGAAGGTTCTCTAAACTGCAGGCTCCCTTAAGCCCTCTCTTGCCCAATCCATAGAATTAGATCTTGTCTCTGATTTCTTGGCCATCATTATGATTCCCTGTGGTCTGGAAATCTACCTTCAGTATTAGCCCCATAGACCTTCCATCTCTCACTGGAGTTCTAGTCTGAAAAGCCAGGTAGCCAGAATGATTGACTACAAGCATTGCATGCCATTGGAACAATGCTTTGGGGCCACACCCTCCAGAAGAGAGTTCTCTGGATAAGAGCTGGGCCCAGATCAAGGCTGACTCACCACCTTCACTACACTGTTTTAGTCAGCGCTATTCTGCTTCCCTCTCTTCACGGCTGTTGAGGCTGTTGCCTGGGTCGGTCTCCTCCTCCTCTTCCTCCTCGCTGTTCTGGCACCGTGGGCCTAACCTGCCTTCATTTGGAGTTGTGTCAAGTGGGTTAGCTACTGTGGGTTCCACATTTACCTGAATGTTGATATGCTGCCATCCATCCAAGTATAAAGGTCCTGGCAGGCTGTGCTGTTGCTTTGCTTCTCCTCACGCCTTCGGAGCCCAATCCAGAAATCGCCATCAGACGCCAGGAGGTTTTCAATGAACTTTTCTATCAGCCTCTGTTCATCTTCAGACTCAATGCTGACTAGCTGGCCCCCATCCCTCCGGCAGGCTGCTCTGGCCTCCTCAAAGTTCAGTCTTCGAGAAGCATCATGGAAGTAAAGGACTTTATAACAAGGTCTCTGTGTTCCTCCCCGGCAGACCGGCTGGCCTAGAAAAAAAATAATTCCAACCATGTGAGTGAACCCAAAGTACACTAGAGCAGGGACTTGGAGGCATGCGAATGAAGCTGTCCCTAGGGCAGGCTTTCTGATGACTCATCAGTGGACTGTTGTAAGATCAGTTAGGGTTCTGAGAAAAGTTAATAGCCTGCCCGCAGGAGATGTGTGACTTAGACTATATCACGTAGGGACTCCATGCTTTGTTTGTCCCATCACAGCTTCCTGAACAGCAGATTTTTGGCTTTCCTCTAAAAGAGAGGTAGATGAAAACGTATGGTGTCACGTAATGGCACACAAATCACTTTCATGCTATTAGGGAGTCTCAGGGGATAATGTGGCTTTTTAATATTTTTTATTTTTATTTTTTCTTACTTCTTTAGTGTGGCTTTAAGTGAGTTATCTGTTTGGTGCTTCCTTCAGGGAAGAGAGGCATGCTGAAATTGGGTGTGGACTTCTCTACCCTGGAGCCCTCTGCCCATGTGGCAGGACTCAGAATTCACCCATTCTGTGCACCGTTCTGCTACTGATCTTGCCTAAGCTCAACTAAGGTTAACTGAACTCTCACTATGTGCCATGAACTATGCTAAGGGTTTTTGTTGTTGTTGTTGTTGTTTTTTACATTTACATACATCATTTATCTCATTGAACTCCCATAGTAAGTCCCTGATGTAGATATTGCTTATGCCCCATCTTACAGATGAGAAAACCGAGGCTTAGAGAAAGTAAAGAATTTGGCTAAGGCCACATAGCTATCAGCAGCATTGCCTAAGTCAGAGCCCTAATTATAAAGTCATGTCAGTAACCAGTGAACTGTATTACCCACTCCCCATTCCACAGTCAGGCATGTTCCATCTGCTTGACAGCTGAAGGGCAGACGACCATCTGAGACAAGTAGATGGGATTCTACTGAGGAGCGAATAACAAATTGTTCACCAGTACACACCACTCTAGCTTGGGTCCCGGTGCCTGGAGCCTTGCGACCCCTGAAACATGAGCCTCATTACTCTGTTGTTTAATCATCATGTACTGAGTGTACTGGCTGTGCCTAGCACTGTGGTAAGTGCTGGGAATATGGAAACAGATGCCAGTTCCCAGCCCACAGGAGCAGACAGCATCTGTTTCTGGATCCAGAGTCCAAGGGGAATCCCTTTCAGCGAAGAGCCAGATCCTGGGCCGTGGGTGTGACTTGCTGCATAAAGCAAGGGATAATGGATTTTGGTTTGCAAGCCTCTTCCCAGCCCTCATGGAATGTTCTCACTTTCCTAACTTATTCTGCAGCTGTGCTGGGAGCCAGATAGCCTTCATTATTCTCCATCATGAGAATACAGTGCTACACGGGGGACCAGCGCACATACAGACAAATCCAGAAGGCTGTGATTTCTTATTTCCTATTTCTTCTTTCATTGCTTTGGTAGAGAAAGTCTCAATAAGCAGCCAGTTATAAAGAGTTTTGTACCTTCTTTCTTTAGGTGTCATTCTGCTATTGCTAAATAAACCCGAATAGGACTGGTCCTCCAGAGAAATAGGAGGCCTCAAAAGTGGTATTTCACCAGAGGTATTCCAGAGAAACTGGGAGCACTGGCCGGAGAGGCTGTGGCTGGGCTGCTGCCTGGGAGAAGACTGGGCCCGCTCGGCTTCAAGGAGTCCTTAGAGGTGGCTCCAAATGAGCAAAGGACAAATGCATGAGCCCTAGGCCCCCCAACTTACCCCCCCGCCCCCCAACTGGTCATCAGCAAAACAGAAGTTGTAGTTGATTCACTGGTAGTGCCCGCTGAACACTGTTGGATTATCAAGGAAAAAACAACACCCTGAAGAAGTTCCCGATGTGGTCCAGCCTGGCCACACCTCCCAAGTCAGCAGGTGAGTGGCCCCCCGAGGGCCAGAGCTGGCAGGAGGCCAAGGGCGCGTCTGGCTCCCGGGCCTCAGGAAGTGTCCAGCTCTTCTTTCTTGCAGGAAGGGGAAGCGGGGAGGGCCTTCTGTTCCCCTGGGCCGATGACAGAGCCCAAGCAGCCCAATTCAGTTCACCCTCCCCTTGGCAGCTCCGCACCCCACCCCGCCCGGAAACCAACTTTAGATGTTTTCAATCAGCTGTGCAAGCAGGAAACCAACTTTAGGATTTTTTCAATCAGCGGTGCCAGCAGGATAAAGGCGTGCGGGTTCCATTCGCCTCCGTCCCTCTGGGGCCAGGCGGTCGCCTGCAAGGCGGGCCTGAGAAAGACAGGAGCGCGGGCCTTCTACCCCCACATGCAGAACGAATGCAAGAGGCAAGAAACCCAAGCACTGTACCTCCTCTGAGGTCCACGTCCGAGGCTGCAGACACACGGGAGGAAGGAAGCAGAGAGTCACTCCTCAGAGTCAGGCGGGACTTGTCCCGAGCAAACTAGGCTTCTTCCCGATCTCCAAGCGCGTATTCCGAGCGCTGGATTCAGCCATCCCGCCCTCTCTCCGCAAAAGACCAGGAGTAACAGGCTAGGTTCCCGGGGCACAGCCGATCCGGAACCCCTACGGTACCCGCCCTCTCCTATCAGACCTTCCCAGGGGGGCAGGACCGGGAGTCTGCGAGCCCGATCTGCGTGGGGGTCCCGGGCCTGTGCCTGCCGGGCCAACTGGGCCCACTGCCCCACCAGCCCACGTTCCCGAATTCCGCGAGCTGGGCTGGGGACAGACTTGGCGAGATCCAGGATATCAGGGAACCCGCGCGGGGCTCAGCCGCGGGAGATTGCTCCCCCAGAAAGGCTGAGTCCACTAGTTCTGTTGGGGCTCTACCGCCCTCACCCCCGCAGCCCCCCCCTCTGCAAAGGGCCTGAGAAGAGGAGGCCCTGAAGACTGCGTGGCTGGGGTGCGGTGGGCGCATCAGCCGAGCCTCCCGGGAAGCGGCCCCCGCGCACTCACCACTCAGCAGGCGACCCTTCTCGCCCCGGAGCCCCGCCAGCAGCACGGCCAGCAGCACGGCCAGCAGCACGGCCTGCGGCGCCCCCAGCTGCATGGCCCGGCCCCTGTGCGCCTCGGACCCCGGGCGCTACCGCGGAGGAGCGGGGTGGATCTTCGGCAGCCCGCACCACTGCAATCGGCAGCTGCATCTCCGGAGACAGACCTGGCACCCGGACGAGTGGGGAGGGCGCGGAGCCAGCCGGTCTCCCCTCCGCCCCCAGGGACGTCACTGCGGGGAGGGCAGCCCCGCCAGCTGGCCCGCCCCCATGGCTCCTCCGGGGCTGGGCGCAGACACCCGGCCGGCCCGGGCAGGCGAGCAGGGGAGGGGAGCCAGCTCCCCGCCCCACTCCGAGCTTCCCTAGGAGATCCCGCATTTGCCTAGAGCTCAAACCCGCCTGGCTTCGCTGAAGTCTGATGACGAGGGCACTGTGGCTAAAAACAGGACCGCGCCTCGTCTTCCCCCCCGCCCCCGCCGCCCCCCTCCTGGGGACACGCCAGATGCACTTGGGAGAGGCAGGCACGGAGACCGCCTGGGGCTGGTAGGGTGCAGCGCAGGCTTCGGGCTGGCCGGGCGCGTGAGGGACAGCATGGATCGCGTCCCTAGAAGGAGGCTAAGTTGAAGTTCTGGCTGAGCGGAGAGTAGCTCCGCCCGAGGCCAAAGGATGACTGAATTCAGCAAGGAAGTAACATTGTCCTGCTTTTTGCAGGGCTCGTGTTTGTTCAGCCTTGAACTTGTGATAGAAAGGAGATAGCCCCGCCCCCCACTCAACAGTGACCCGAGTTCCTCTGGAAAGGCTTTCCTCACAACCCAGCCCTCCATGTGTGCTCCTTCTAAGCTCCCACCGCAGCTGTGTTTTACATTTGGTTTTCAAATATATCCAGACAATAATGTAAGCCTCCAAAAACGAAGGCGCTAAGCAGAGGTGCGTCTGATTTCCCCGCCTTTGCCTCTCTGTGAAGCACAGCAGAAGCTCCCTCTGGGCGGACTTCTGGTTTGGGGCCTCAGCTTCAGCCACTGCAATTCTAGACACATAGGTCTGAATACAGGCTGGGGGTGTGGAGAGGCCTGCTTCAGTACCAGCTGGTAATATGGGGAAGCTCTGCTACTGCAGAAACCAGTAGCAACAGCAGGAACTTATGGCAAGTTCATGTACCACCAGTCTTTATGTCCGAATTAGAATATCTCGTATCCAGCATACATTTTTCTAGAAATTCCTCATTATCTAAACAATCAAAGAGAGAGCTGCTCTGGTGAAAATCAGCCCTTGATTTGGCACCGGGCATTGTTTCCAGTCCTGTTTTTCTTCACTTAATGTCTGTGTGGCCTTTGAGAAGTTTTATTGTGTGGGTTTTGTTGTTGTTGTTTTGGCGTAAGTTTCAATTAAATCTTGGTAACACTAAACGTTACCTCAACTTTTGTGAAGGGTTGATAAGACAACCAGATGTTCAAGTGTGTAGGTAGCTGGGTACTTCATGTCAATTGCAAAATATTTATTTCCAATATTACAGCATCGTTACAACCTAGAGAAGCTGTTACCTTGGTCCAATTAATTAAATTGTGCCCTGAGTTCTCCCTTTGATACGCTGGCCCTTGGTCCAGAGAGACTTTGTTGAGGCATGCAGTCAACCTAATGTGGTAGATTGTAATAACAACCCCGATTCTTCACACCACCCTGTATCCACACCCTTTATTATGTGACTTTGCAGTTCCTCTTACTAAGGGGGCAGAGTATGTTTCCCTCCCTCTTGTCTCTGTGTTTGAACATGTGATTTATTTGGCCAACAGAATGAACCAGAAGTTCCTGAGCCAAGACTGGAAAAAGGCCTCACATGTTCTCATTTGTTCTCTTGCTTCTCTGCTACTCTCTTAGGGGAAGGTAGCTCAGATATCCCACTGGTCCCTGTACATCCCAAAGAAGATGTGAGGAGCAGAGCTGCCTCAATCCACAGGCCTGTAGTGAAAAGAGACCTGCCTAGGTGCTGTAGCCTGAAGCACAGCTGTCTGGCCAAGCCTAGGTCAGCCAAACCCCCAACTGACCTACAGATGTGTGAGCAAGAATAAATGTTGACGCTCACTTTGACATGCAGTATTGTTGCAGTAATACCTAACTGTTACACCTGGCAATGCAGACAGGTGTCACCAGGGAAAGGCTGGTTGTCAAGAAAGCTCACAAAGTGGAATTTTTCTCAGTAAAATTATCTTGGTCCAAGGTCTAATCCTTAGTTTGACAAACTCAAACCCAATCTAAGAGCCTAATATATTTACACATTGAGAAACACAATCATCAGGTAAGCTCATGTTTGCATCGGCCTGTTGAGCACATACTCTCCCTCTGGGCAAAAGATGACTCAGTGAGCATGGGATCAGAAGAAATATTCTCACCTGAGGATATTTTTCCATTGATTTTTAGAGAGAGTGGAAGAGAGAAAGAGAGAGAGAAAGACAGAGAGAAATATCAATATCAAAGTGTGAGAAACACATTGATATGTTGTCTCCTGCACGAGCCCGACCAGGACCGAGGAGGAGCCTGCAACCCAGGTACTGGCCCTTGACTGGAATTGAACCCGGGACTCTTTGGTCTGCAGGCTGATGCTATATCCACGGAGAAAACGGGCTGTGGCCTTTTTATTCTTGATGGTGCTGATATGAGATTTCCACTTTATAACATTCTAAACTTTTCTTAAGGCCTACTTTCTGTTCAAAACACTTTTCTTCAAATAGTGTTGTGGTGGAAACTGCTAGTTTCCACTAATATTCATTCTCTACTTCTTTTAGTGATAGCGTCCTGAATTTTAATTGGGTAGATCCCCTCTTCTCCCCCATTTAAAGCCTATTTCCTGGCCTCCCTTGCAGTTCGGTGTGTCCCTGTGATTAAGTTCTGTTGGCACAGCGGAGTAGGAGTTGCATCTGATGGAGGTTATGTCCAGGAGCTGCAGGTGGAGGCCAAGTGAAGTGAGTGGTGGTCATAAATAGAGCTGTGAGCACTGGAGCAGAGCGTACAACCCTGAGCAGGAATGCCAGTGGGACAATGCCGAAGAACAAATACTTAACCTTCTCTTTTCCAATATACACCGAAGAGAATGATCTTTAAAAGTGAGGGAGGTTGGCACTGGGATGTACATGTGTGTAAGACATAGGAATGCTAAGCCAGCTAGTCACAGAACTAGAGCAATTAATTCCTGACTGCAGACATGTTCCAGAAACCAAATTTTGGAAAACAGATTTTTTTTTTAACAGCAAGAAAACCTTAAAGTTTTTAGGATTGCCCTTTCATCCCTATTTGCTTATTGTTTTTACTAGTGGTCTACTAATTGGGGCACATAAAGCCCTGTTTCTTGTCTATCTGATATTCATAACATAGGTCAAATATAACAATTCTGGAGACAACAAATAAAAACAAGAAAAATAGGAGTTTGAGAATGTATAAGATGAGAGAGATGGTTGTGTGGTGTCAAAAACAGTGGTATCCAATAAGTAAAATAGATCCAAATATTCAATAACTGGTAAAATTCCTGGAAGTCTGCATACTTAACTTTTATTTCTTTGCCTATTTTAACAAATGATCCCAATGATCCTGATGTAGGACTAGGTTGTTTCAAAAGTGAAGATCTAAGTGAGCCATCCTCTAAGACGTGTCAATCAATTTAGTTCAAGGCTTTGACTTCTTCTTGGTCTTCCTTATTGGACTCTGGAATCACTTTCCTGTTGGCAGTAACATAGGTCAGTTCCCACACACAGAACTCTGTAGTTGTGAACACAAAGTAGCATGGAAACAACTTTCAAAAGTTTTCCCAATAAAGGTTTACTGTCTTGGATTCTGACAATGCATTAGATTTTGCAACCAAGTGTAAGCTTATATGCGGGAGGAGCTGTAATTCTACTGTAAAGTGTGATTTGAAGGGCATGAGAGAAGACCTCCTAACCCTAAATATGTTTTGCTCACCCAAGAGTCAAACTTGGGAGATTTCACCATTGCTAATTGATTATGATGGATTATCTATTGTTCCTTCTAGTCAGTCCTCTATTATGCAAATATTCCTGGAGTGGATAATAAACATATTGCTACTAAAATCTTACTCTGTACACACTTTCTAGTTCTTTCTTTCTGACAGTA